CTAGTAGACCTAAGAATTGATTCACTATAATCTTTCCACTTCATGTCAGCGGAAAAACGTTAATCCGAGAAGTCGCAATGAATCACTTTCCTGGAGGTCAGCATCAGTCATACTAATGGAAGGCAGAAACGGGTATCTCAGATGACAGAGAGAGAGAGTTTGTTTTCGTTTTGTTTTCGAGTCGTTAAAATTTTAAAAAAGCTGTTCCTTGCCCCAGTTAACAGCAGATTATGGGCCCTTCTTTAGATCAGCTGCTATCTTTTCATACCATAGCATCATTTTTGTCGAGAAAAGAGTCTATTAATCATGAAGAACTTTAACCTGATATTTAGTATTACTTTGTAACGAATTCTGAAGAATTTTATACCCAAGGGATCAACAATTTGTCAACCTATGATATCGATAATTAAAGGTAATATTATATTGATTAAATATATCAATTAAGCTCAAAGAAGGATTCGTTTCTTTTCCATATCCAAATGCAACATGACTTTCTTTCTACCTGAACAAAAAGATAAAGATTTCAAGAGAATATTAATTTTGAATTTCTTGCATATTCGTAAATGTTCTGACTTAATATTGTTTCTCTCCTCCCTTATACAATATGACAGTCGAACTATTGAAGATTATTTTCATCCTCCCTTTTCTGCGCCCTTTTTCTACCTACCTTTCTTTTTGATTTCGAGGATAGAGTCTATAAAATGAGAGTTTAACAAGTATTTTCGTAAGGAGCCAGTTTATAAAGAACTAGCAGTAGAGCCCGGTGTTGCCCGGGGATATAACAGTAAGAGATAGATCAAGTATCGACCATCATAAAGACTGAAAAATAAAATTGACAAAGATTATTGTTTAATGTTGACAGGACACGCATGTCTTAATTAGATTTTTTTTTTTTTTTTTTTTGAATTGGTCAAACCCAAACTCAAACAAAAACATTGTTTTCAATCGTTATGAGTCTCCCGATTGAATTTTATTATAAATAATTGTCTTGTAAATGGAATTTTTAAAGCATTCTGAATGTTAAAAAATAAAAAAAAAAAGTGTGCAAGAGAATAAGAAACACTACCTGCCAAAAAAAAAAAAAAAAAAAAAAGTGAAATTTTGTTTTATCGGCTGAAAAATATAGGAAATCCGCTCCCATATTTAAAGGAACCCACCCACATACAAACCGATGTGAGTTGTCCCCCTTCCATTTTCATGATGCCGCTTAATCGTGTTTTCAAATTGATTTTGTGCAAAAACAATTATTTTTTTTCATTTTTGGCGCTGTTAGAACCACCACAAGGTAATTTTATCTAGTTCTGTGAAGTTTTGTTGAAATCGGTTGAAAAATGTAGGAAATCCTATCCAATATATAAACGTCACAGACACACACACACACACACACACACACAATCTGCGTTTTATAATAAGTAAGATTAACAATGCCTTTCATATTCACCTATTTTGCGGAGGGCGATAGGCCGGATATAAACTGTCTGTTTAATCAGTTGGTTTGGTCAGCTATTTAATCAAAATCCTAATTACTGTGTATATATTACGTCCTCGTGAAACTTAAATGTTTCTGATTTTTTAAAACACCCGACTCTATCGTGTAACTGTTTTGTAAAGTCTTTTAGGGAAAATTAAATTATCACCCTTAAATCTCACATTCTGTCGAACATTCTTTTCGTCATTTTCTTTCCTCATACGAATTCTACAATCATTTTTATCGTGTGTTCTTTTACATTTCTTCTCATAACTCGTCCGAATTAAAATGTTATAGGTATTTTTCTGAACGGTCTTGATTTACATTAATTTCGTGTTCGTACTAGAGTTAATCACTTGGCTGAAACGCCATATTTTTTCTTGCACGATTTTGTTTTACGTTCATGTTGTGCTCGTACTACAGTCGATCACGTGGCTGAAAAGCTATTTTTTTTCTTGCATGGTTTTGTTTTACGTTCATGTTGTGTTCGTACTTGAATAAATCATGTGGCTGAAATGCCATCTTTTTTCTTTCTCTTTTTTTTACGTTCATGTTGTGTTCGTTCTTGAGTAGATCACGTGGCTGAAACGCCATCTTTTTTCTTTCTCTTTTTTTTACGTTCATGTTGTGTTCGTACTTGAGTAAATCACGTGGCTGAAAAGCTATCTTTTTTCTTTCTCTTTTTTTTACGTTCATGTTGTGTTCGTTCTTGAGTAGATCACGTGGCTGAAACGCCATCTTTTTTCTTTCTCTTTTTTTTACGTTCATGTTGTGTTCGTACTTGAGTAAATCACGTGGCTGAAAAGCTATCTTTTTTTTTTTCTTTTTTACGTTCATGTTGTGTTCGTTCTTGAGTAGATCACGTGGCTGAAACGCCATCTTTTTTCTTTCTCTTTTTTTTACGTTCATGTTGTGTTCGTACTTGAGTAAATCACGTGGCTGAAACGCCATCTTTTTTCTTTCTCTTTTTTTTACGTTCATGTTGTGTCCGTTCTTGAGTAGATCACGTGGCTGAAACGCCATCTTTTTTCTTTCTCTTTTTTTTACGTTCATGTTGTGTTCGTACTTGAGTAAATCACGTGGCTGAAACGCCATCTTTTTTCTTTCTCTTTTTTACGTTCATGTTGTGTTCGTACTTGAGTAGATCTCGTGGCTGAAACGCCATCTTTTTTCTTTCTCGTTTTTTTTTTTACGTTCCTGTTGTGTTCGTACTAGCGTAGATAACTTGGCTGAAACGCCATCTTTATTCTTACGCGGTCTTGATCTACATACATGACTTGTTCGTACGGCAGCAGATCATTTGGCTGAAACACTTGGCTTTTTTTTACTGCACGGGCTTGATTTACGTTCATGTTCTGTTCGTACGGCAGTAGATCACTTGGCTGAGTCGCCATCTTTTCTCCCGCAACAATGTTTCTATCGATTATCTTAGATTCATTCTCGTGTATCGGCTACGAATATTTTAAATGTCGCAATTGACTATAAATCGTTTTTATTCGTATCACAACGTTGAATCTGTTCTTACACGTGCAGATGTGACCGGCAAGAGGAAAAAAGTGTTATTCTGGCTTGAGTTCCGGCGAAAAAAATACTAAACAACAAACATTTGGTCTCTTTGCTTCCCTCTTGCAAGTCCTAAGACTCTATCTGCTTATCGAATCATGAAAAAAATCTTCCCCTTTCAAAGCCTATGCTATTTCAATTCAGGACGTATGTCAGGGCTAAAAGTGACGATTGTCATCAGTAAGATGTCTTTTACTTGACGTCAAAGCACTTCAATATTTAAATTAACATTTCCTTAAGATGCATTGAGATACGTTTTTCGTTTCGATTTATTGAAAATAAATATAGAAAAGGGATGAAGTAAATGAAAAAAAAAGATTTTTTTCGAAATAAGGTAAAAAGGCTTCAAACTTCTCGAAGACAAAAGGAAAAGGACATGTGTTTTTAACTATGTGGATAAGTACAGAGTTGCATGTTGTATTGGGAAAAAAGTCGTGCTATTCTTGTCAATTTCATGTCATCTTTTGGAAACCAGAAGTCTCGTTTGTGCATTGGAGCAAAAGAAAAGATGTAATAATATTATATTTTTAAGCTTTGTTTTTTGTTTAGCATCAGAAATCAAAACTGTTTGCCAGTTTGTAAGGCATTGATTTTTACAAATAGAAAAATATCAAAGAAAGAAATACGTTATTTGCTTATGAGAGCAGAAACTAACAACCAGAGCCGACAGTCAATTTTTCAAGTTACTTAGAGGAACGCAAACAATTTAATCGTTAATTGGAAGCCAAGATACCATAAAAAGTATTGGTTCTGTAACTATTCAACTTCTCTAGTTTTTCTTTCAATGCAGTAGACTTCATGAACAGGTGACCTGACTTTCAAAGATGGTGGTTCTTTAAATAACTTCTTCTGTTATGAACCATATCCCTTTAAAACGTGGGCGATCATGGCTCTCCACAACTTCCTATCCTTCGTAGCTCTAAGCAATCTTTGTCTCCTTAATAACCATTCTCTTTTCTGCCATCCATTTACAAAAAACAATTAAGTAGGTTATTGTGGCTCTCCACAGTTTCCTATTCTTTGTAGCTGTATGTTTGTCTCCTTAGTATCCATCCCATTCCCTGTTCTGTCATCCATAAGTTTGTTACAGAGGTGACCATAGCTCTCCACAACTTCCTATCCTTTGGTCTTAGCAATGTTTTTCTCCTTATTATTCTTACTATTTCCTGTTCTGCCATTCATTTACATAAGCTTGTTAGATAGGTGATTATGACCCTCCACAACTTCCTATCATTTGTAACTCTAAGTAATTTTTGTCTCCCTACTCCTCCTCCCATTCCCTGTTCTGTTATCCATTTATACAAGTCAGTTAGGTAGGTGATAATAGCTCTCCACAACTTCCTATCTTTTAAATGTAATATTTGTCTCCTTACTATCCTTCCCACTCCCTGTTCTGCAATCAATGTACAAAAGCCAGTTAGATAGTGATCAAGGCTCTCCACAACTTCCTATCTTATGTAGCTGTAAGTAATGTTTGTCGTCTTACCATCCTTCCCATTCATTGTTCTGCCGTCCATTTCCAAAAGCTACATTGGCAGATGAATATGACTCTCCACAACTTCCTCTTCTCTGGATCAGTAAGTAATGTTTGTCTCCTTATCATCCCATTCCCCGTTTTGCCATGCATTTACACAATTTTTATAATTAGGTAACTCACTGTTTCCCTCTGCACCTCTTCAATATATTTTGTGAGTGTCAAATTTTCCAAGAAATTTTAACTTATCATGTGTCCCGGAAAGTCAAACTATTTCTTTTTTATTTTAAGTATAAATGTCTTGTTTGTTTTTATTATACTTAAAACTTCCTCGTTGGTCACATGTTCAGTTCATGGTATTCTTAGCATCCTTCAGTAGAAACACAACTCTGTTGCCTGTGAGGAAATTCACCAGCATTCAATGACATATCGGAGAATTGATTATAATTAAATCAGACTCCAAGATCCCATTAGAATTTATAGAAAATTTCCTGGTCATAGATCTATTCGTCCTTGAGATAAGAAATGAGAGAGAGTGAGGGAGAGAAAGAGAGAAAGAAAAAAGAAAGAAAGAAAGAGAGAAAAAGAGAAAGAGAGAGAGAAAGAAAGAAAGAAAGAAAGAAAGAAAAAAAGAAAGAGTGAAATAGAGATAAAGAGAAAGAGAAAAAGAGAAAAAAGTGAGAAAGAGAGAAAGAGAAAGAAAGAAAGAAAGAAAGAAAGAAAGAGAGAGATAAAGAGAAAAAGAAAGAGAGAAAAGAGAGAGAGAGAAAGGGGGAGAAAAAAGAGAAAGTGATAGAGCGAGAAAAAGGTAGAGAAAGTGAGAGAAAGTAAGAGAGAAAGAGAGAGGTAGAAAGAGAAAAAGAGAGAAAGAGATAGAGAAATAGAGAAAGAGAGAAAGAAAGAGAGATAAAGAGAAAAAGAATGAGAGAAAAGAGAGAAAAAGAGAGCGAGAGAAAGGGAGAGAAAGTGAGAGAAAAAGAGAGAGAAAGAGAGAGAGAAAGAAACAGAAAGAGAGAGAGAAAGAGAGAGGGAGAAAGAGAGAGAAAAAGAAAGAGATAGAGAGAGAAAGAGGGAGGGAAAGAGAAAGAGAAAGAAAGAGAGAAAGAGAAAGAAAGAGAGAGAGAGAGAAAGAGAGAGAGAGAGAAATAGAGAATTTTTCATAAATTATCGTTCTCGCACTGAAATGAGTTTTTTTTGCGAGAGAATGCATGTTTTAAAAGACACATTCCAAAATTCTAGGGCAAGGTGTCGTGTGATACTGCCTAAAGTGTATGCAAGTAGAAGGATTTGAGATTTTCTGGTCCTAATCAAAGAAAATGAACTTGACCCATAAAAACTATGTGTTTTCTACATCGTCACCTTGCAGTTCAACACATTTGGCTCATCTTTATTGAAGTTTCTTTAAATCTGCCTCTTGCATAAAAAAAGAAAGAAAAAACTCTTTAATATTTAGTCTTCGGAATAGTGATTCAGGTCAATAGGTCGAGCCTAGACCATTTCAGCACAACCTCGTATCAATTAATGTATTAGCATATGGTAAGTGGAGGGCCGATATTGTCTGGCTTAAATGGAAAGAAGCTACATAAGTTTAACCCAGATTTTAACCTTAACACCCCAAGTTGGGGTATAAGAAAGATGAAGTGAAACTGAAGAGAGGCAGGGAAAAAGAAGTTTTATAAAACAAAATTATTAATTATATAAGAAAAAAAAATTGTTACCCTTCAAAACTACCAAAATATTCTTACAAATAAAGTATAATATGATTAATAATAAATCGTTTTTAGAAAGTTTATTTTAAGTAAAAATGTTTAAGAAATAATTAAAAATAGAAAAATTATATTAACCATTTATAAATTTATTAAGTATACCGACCATTCCCAGAATATATATATATATATATATATATATATATATATATATATGACAGCAAGCAGAAATATTTCTCCTCCCGATGATGGCCATTTCGGTCGAAACTAGTCGAGGAATCTAAATGGAATAATAATAATAAAAAAACGAAAGAATATTAATCTACAACCCAGTGTGTCTAATGATTTTAATTTTTAATTTTCTTATTGTTCAATATATATATATATATATATATATATATATATATATAAGCCTTTTTAAAAAATTAAAATGATAAAGAAAACGTAAACAAAGAGAAAGGAGTTCATAAAGTTGTGGAAGATTATAAAACAGAATTGATATAGAGAAGGTAGATAGATGTAACTATAATATGTATAAAATTAGAAGGGTTAGATAAGTAAATATTAAAAAGTATTATAAAAAGTATTATAGAAGTTTAAACCTGCTCCTGTGACGACACTTTGAAACTAATTCATTCCTTTGATTTAATAGTTTACTTTGATTATTAAATTTTATTATTCTAATTTTCACTTTTAAACCTAGGTCACACATATTCCTAAGACTATTTTTTTTTAAGCATTTCACCCCAAGCAAGGCGGGAAGCCACTAGGACACAAGGGGTTACAGAAAATTTAGAGCAAGATCAGATAGGAGTGATAGAAGAAAGGATGAGGAGAAGGATAGTGGATAGATCAAGGCAACTGGAGATGTCGATTGACATTACAATTAAATAGCTGGAGATTATAGCTCTCAGGGAAACTGGAATAAGGAAGGGAGTTCCACAGGCGAGAGGTGCGAGACATGAAGCTATTGGAGTAGAAGAGACGGCTACATTTAGGAGTTTCGACAGTGAAGGGGTGAGAGCGGGATGCCACCCTCGTAGGGCGCTTGAACTCATGACGTCTAGGAGTATAAGCGAAACCTATAATTTTCCAGTCAATCTGAGGGGTCAGACCTTTCTCCCTCAATTCCCAAATGTTTTTGGAAAGACCTGTCTAATATTTTAATTAACACTCTTTTACCAACTCAAAATTAAAATATCAAGCAGCAAACTATTATATAATAACATTTAAAGTATTAAGAACCAGGAAACTTTCTTTAGAAATAATGATTACAATACTTATGATTTATTGCAAACATTTTTAAGGGCAGAATCCAGAATCATTATATTGATCATTCATTTTTTATTGAAAATTATGTTGGCGTTAGTATGCGCTCTCTGTGTGCTTTCTATTTCCCACATCATGTTTTAAAGCTAAATGACCGTTCACCTTTTCGCTATTCTTTGTTCTAAAGGAAATAGTTGCACATGTGCTCGCATTTAATTCTGTTAACATATAAAAATTAAGTCGTGTGTGTGTGTGTTTGCCTAACCTGTGAATGTGTTAAGTAATCATTGGCATGTGATGCTAATGTTGATAGCATGTAATTAAAAAGTAACACTCTAAAATGTTCCTGAATCTTCTTCGCAGTTTCACCTTTGACAAACGTTAAAAGACGAAACAAAGAAAAGCTGTGGAAAGACATCGACACAATAACATAAGAATCATTTACTCAATCAACATATGTACCTTTTCTTGATGTGTGCTCAGAAGAACGTAATTCATGTTTTCCATAACTTTATGCGACTTCACAAATAAATGTATACGTTCAAATATATCTGCGTTACTTATTTAAAAATGCCGGCGTATTACATCATATACAGGGAAATGCATGCCAACAAAGTACGGATATATCTAAGTGTAAATTCTTGTACTTGGCTATATGCGTGCGTCAGCGTGTTTGTCGGATAAATAGTTTATAGACATGTACATGTGGGTGCACGCATGCGTATGTGTGACGTCCAACATCTGCCTGAACACTTGGTATTTTCTGCCATTTCTGACCGGAATAGCTTCTGACAAAAATTAAAAAAAAAAAAAAATAAATAAATAAAAACGCCCAAAAGGGGATTTAAATCATCTGCTGCTCACGGCAATTTCAAAACTCCTGTTTACTCAGCAATCATGAAAAATATAATAACGATGATAAGACAAAAATATGATGTAAGATGGCCGCTGAGAAAGAGAAAATGAAGAGAAACGATGGGAAAAGAAAGATGGTGATATAAGAGATTAGAGAGAAAGCAGGATAAAAAAAAAAAATAAATGGAAGAGAATAAGAGTTGGAATTAAGTTTAGAACGCAGACGATACGACGTGCGGGAAAGGAAGGAACAATTAAAGAAAGAAGACAAAGAAGAAACAAAAAGACCGATAGAAGAAAAAAAAATAGAGGGACAAGAAGACTTTAGGCAATTGGTAAGAAACGTCTGCTAAAAGTAGAAAAAGAAGAAGTGAAAATAAAGAAGTAGATTCAAATGACACATGGAAAGAAAAACATAGAAGAACGACGGCTGAATGATGTGAGAGTCTGAAATAAAATAAAAGAAACGTATGTAGGAAAAAGCAATTTGGAATATATGTAAGCAGAGGGTGAGAGAGACAGAGAGAGAGAGAGAGTCGTAGAGGAAGAAAGAAGTCTTTTTTTAATAATTTCACCCGGAGCAAGGCAATAATGCCACTAAGACGCAAGAGCTTACTGAGAGTAAAGGAAAGTGAGAAAACGTTATTGAGGAGAAAGGACAATAAAAAGAACAGGATTCAAAAAGACAGAATATGAAGATTAACATTGCATTTAAATTTTTGTAGACTGTAGTTAGCAGGAAAATAGGGAACTAGAAGAGAGTTCCATAGGCGTTAAATGCTAGTGAAGAAACTAATAACATAGAACTTAGGGTTACAACTAAACATTTCAATAGTAAAATGATAAGGCCTAGTTACTAATCTAGTATGAAGCTTAAATTAATTTCAATCGTGGTGCCAAAGAGGAAAGCTCATTAGAACAATAAAAAAAGACACTGTTATACCCTTTGTGGTGATATTTTGAAGCGTTTCTGTTTAATGAAGAGTTTTGCCCTATACCAGGCTCAAGAGCCACTCGAGGTAGAAGGTCATAGAGGAAGAGGGACAGTTTATGTGGATATATGGAGAAAGTAATGGTTAGCCCTAGACTTGAACAGGTTATGATTGCAGTGATCGGGGAGCATCCTCTTGGGAGTCAGTTCCACAAAACAGCAGTTCGTAGGAAGGAGGTACTCGAATGGAACTTACATCCCACTAATGGGATACAAAGTGAATGAGGGTAGTTCGCTGCAATATGCGTGACATGGCGGGTCTTTACCGTGATTGTTAGAATTGTTGGAATTGTAGTTCGTCTGAACACTTTCTATAGAAATACCAATAGAGCGGCGAGAGGCAAGCGACGGGGATTGTAGGGTAGAAAATAATTAATCACCCACAAGGACGCGAAAACAGTACTCCATTTTCGGTATTTTCTGTTTTTTTTTCTAACTTTACATATTATTTACGAAGTTTTAGGGAAAAGCTCTCGATCTGTCCAAGATGGGATTCAAAAATCTGACGTTTGGTTCCATCATCATATAAATGAATCCCTTGTATCTTAAAGAAATAAGCCGTCATCATACACCACAGACTGGCGCCGCGAAATCTCAAATAATACAAAGCACTTCACTTGAAGACTTCCAACACCAGCAACAACAATTAAGTATATCACATATAACTAGAAGGCAAAATAATATGGTGAAGGTGTGAACTTTCCACAGCAACAAAAACAAAAGGTTAGGAGGGAAACTCTAATCAGTACTTGAAGGAGCTATAACAGTTAGTGGACACGAGACCTGAAAAACTGTTTTAAAGAATATTTTATAAATTTTAACCGAAGGTAATTTTATTTGTTCGGTCAATGAATGTCGAAGGTTTTCTGCTTGGAAACGGTTAATCTTACATTCATCATCAACATCAGATTTGCTAGGAGTAAGATGAGCCGAGAAAGGAAAAGAAAGGAAGAAAATATGCAAATGAAAGCAAGAAAAGAAATAACGGAAAAATCAGGAGAGATGAAGAAAGAAAGAAAGAAAGAAAGAAAGAAAGAAAGAAAGAAAGAAAGAAAGAAAGAAAGAGGAAGATTAAAAGAATCAGGCAAACAAATAAAGAAAGAAAATCAAGAGAGGTAGAGAGGAAAAGAAAGAAAGAAAGAAAGAAAGAAAGAAAGAAAGAAAGAAAGAAAGAAAGAAAGAAAGAAAAGAAAATCAAGAGAGGCAGAGAGGAAAAGAAAGGAAGAAAGAACATATGCAAGTATAAGCGATGAAAGAACGTAAAAATCAGGAAACGAGAAGAAAGAAAGGAAGGAAGAAAGAAAGAAAGGGGAAGATTAAAAGAATCAAGCAAACAAATA